TAAATTTATTGTACTGTCTCTTTAAATATTCTGAATTGTGGAAAATAATTTTCCCAGAATGTAAATCATATTAGAATAGAGACTTCTACTTAGGGTTACCCCCTTTTCCTTGCCTCAGTATCTCTGATCTTCTCAATTCCTACCCATTCCCCAATAAAATGATGTAAATCATATTATGGCCTGTCAAGTGTGTAAGCAGTTGTGCTCTAATAGTGTAGTACCTCTCCACAAATAATAATTTGAGATAATTAAATGTGAGTTACATAAAGGCACCAGATTACTTATATAGATAATACTACTAAAATGGTAGCAGTGTGGAAAAAGATCCGGACCTGAAATATAGAATTTTAAAAAGTAGATGTGGGGGGTCTAGAAGCTGACCAAAGTTAATGGGACACTGTTATGAAATGCACTTAACACTGTTAGCTGGTTTCAACAGGTCTTCATTGCAGTGCTTAACTTGAGGCGAGACACCATCTTCAGCAGCAGGCATAACATTTGAAAAATGACAGTTCCCTCAGCCACCTCGGGCCCCGACCCCATTTCTGCGATGTTACTCAGGCTCTCATGACATCAACCCTTTTAATAAAAATGTTTTTTTAAATAGACAAAAAAAACACAAATAAACAGAAATAAGTACAAACTAAACTATAATATCTTGGATATCTGGGTAGACTAGCCTAGTCGAATATGGAATTATTCTGCCCATTGAGTCACCCTTCTAACTACAGTGCTAATCTGGGTAGCACACTGGAAGCTTCACAACTCTACCACTCTAAGTCATTTTGCAAGGACCTCCCCCAAGTCATTATGTGAGTGGTTGTGACTCCACTGGAGACACCGGACTCTTGTCTCGAGGGTGGTACACTTCTCATGACTGGAGTTTCCAACTGGCTGTGGTCCCAAATTCTCAGCACCTAACTCCTCGGATACTGGCTGAAGGTGCCTTTTATTGGGGCGGGCAACAGTCTTGCCTTCCGTGCAGACCACATAGGAGCTTGGTTCAGGGGAATGCCCTAATACAGTAGCCAGTGCACAGAGTCTTTTCGTCATCTAACTTGACACTTTGGTCGGGTACAGCTGAGGCAATGGGCGTGCAGAGTGTCTTCTATTGTAAGGGAATCTGTAATTCTGTTTTGCCTTCTCATCCCTCCTCCGAATGTCCTCTGGAAGAATAGGGGAGGCAGGCTGGAATGCCCTCATAGAAGGCAACGTGGTACAAATCTGTTAGAATCAAGTAAGATTCTAGTTGCATCAAAACAAACGTGGTGGTTTGAACGGCTCTCTCAGACATTCCATTGACCTGCGGGTAATACGGACTGGAAGCAGAGTGAAAGAAATCATACTCTCTACTTAAAGATATGAACTCCATGGAAGTGAACTGCATCTCATTGTCGCTTACCAACTCCAATGGTGTACCCCTCATGGCAAACATGCTTTTAAGACGGGTGATGACAGCCATGCTGGTTACCTCACCTAAGGATACAATTTTGAGATACCTGGAAAAGTAGTCTACAATAACCAGATATTTGTCTCCATTGAGTTTACACAAATGTGCAGGTATCTTCTGACATGGGCCCACAGGCAGGGGGGTAGATATTAGAGGTACTCTCCTCTGTGTAGGTTGTCGTTCACGACAAAAGGCATATCATTATATTTATTCTGCAATGTCAGTGCTGATTCCAAGCCACCACAATGCCGTGGCTGCTCTTTCACTTTTCCATGACCAAAGATACACAGTTCTATTAAAGGACCACTATAGGCACCCAGACCACAATGAAGTGGTCTGGGTGCCAGGTCCCTCTAGTTTTAACCCTGCAGCTAAAAACATAGCAGTTTCAGAGAAACTGCTGTTTACACTGAGGGTTAATCCAGCCTCTAGTGGCTGTCTCACTGACAGCCACTAGAGGCCGCATGGTCATGATATATACACCAAAATTGCTTCCTTCAGGTAAAATTGTTTTAGTGACTATAGTGTCCCTTTAACCCCTTCTCGACCAGTGACGGTTCAGGACTGTCATCGGAAAAATCCCTTTCAGGACCGGTGATGGTCCTGAACCATCATAACGGAAATTTTTACTCATCGTTCCCTCGGCGGCAATCGACCCAGGCAGTCTCCCCGTGGCGAGAAAATACGTATTACTGTTTTGAAACTCTAATATTTGTGTTCAGCGAAGTCTCCCGAGTATAACAGTACCCCACATGTATAGTGTTTTTGAAGTTATTGGGTCAAATATAAGGCTTGATTTTCCTTTTTTTTTTTTTTATTTGCCTGTTTGGTTATGTTGCCTTTGAGAGCATATGGTAGCCCAGGAATGAGAATTACCCCCATGATGGCATTTGCAAAAGAAGACAACCCAAGGTATCGCAAATGTCCAGTCTTTTTTAGTAGCCATGACATACAGACACAGACACACCATGACAGACACACACACACAAAAGACATGACACACACACACACACCATGACACAGACACACATTGCATGACACAGACAGACACACACACCATGACACAGACAGACACACACACCATGACACAGAGACACACACACACCATGACACAGAGACACACACACACCATGACAGACACACACACACACCATGACAGACACACACACACACACACCATGACAGACACAAACACACACACCATGACAGAGACAGACACACACAATGACACAGACAGACACACACCATGACACAGACAGATGCGCACACACACCATGACACAGACACACACACACCATGACACAGACACACACACAAATGATACAGACACCATGACACACAAATGACACAGACACAGACACCATGACACACAAATGACACAGACACACACACCATGACACACAAATGACACAGACACACACACCATGACACAGACAGACACACACACCATGACACACACACAAATGACACAGACACACAGACCATGACACACACAGACACACACACAAATGACAGACACACACCATGACACACACAAATGACAGACACACAGACCATGACACACACAGACACACACAAATGACACAAACACACACAAATGACACAAACACACACACAAATGACACAGACACACACCATGACACACACACAAATGACACACACAGACACACACACAAATGACACAGACACACACACACCATGACACACACAGACACACACAAATGACACAGACACACATCATGACACACACAGACACACACAAATGACACACACATCATGACACACACAGACACACACACCATGACACAGACACACACAGACACACACCATGACACAGACAGACACACACACACACACCATGACACAGACAGACACACACACACACACCATGACACACACACAAATGACACAGACACACACACATACACTCACACTGACACACACAATTTCTACCTGTGGGGAGCTCTGATGGCGGCCGCATGGGAGAGCTGGCTCTTCTGGCGGCCACAGAGGGAGCTCCTTTGGTGGCCGCATGGGGAGCTGGCTGTTCTGTCTCTACTCCCTCCCTCCTCCCCAGCGCACTGCTTAATGAGACCGGGGCCGGAATATGACGTCATATTCCGGCCCCGGTCTCAGTAAGCAGCGCGCTGGGGAGCGGCCGCAGGTGAGCCAGCTGTCTGCCCGGCCCCAGGTGCCGACGGCCCACCAAAAAAAAAAAAGCATCTAAACAGGGTGTTTTTAAACTCAGGACAACATTTTTAATCTATTTAGAAGTTTTTTTTCATTAGCTTTTGTAGATAAGCAAAAGATTTTTCTAGTAAAAGTAAAGTTGTTTTTTTTAAGTAAATTATGACATGATACAGATAATGATATGTAAAGAAAGCCCTTCTTGTCCTGAAAAAAAAAAAAATATATATATATATATATATATATATATATATAACTTGTATGGGAACAGTAAATGAGAGAGAGGAAAATTACAGCTAAACACAAACACCACAAAAGTGTTAAAACAGCCCTGGACCTTAACGTACAACATGGCCAAAACAGTCCGGTCCTTAAGGGGTTGAGTTATGTGGTTTCTGGCAAGTCAAAGGGATGATCACGACAATATTATAAGGGCCAGCAGGGCAAAAATACATACAGTGGCAATTGCTGCATGTCTGCATACTGTGGTTGATGGGTAAAAAATAAGCAATAACTACTGAAGTTATAGAAACCAGAAGAAAGGCAGAAAAGCCAAAGGCAGTTCACCTATATGAGTGGAGCATGCAGTGATATTATTGGACACCTAACCTGTAGAAGGGTAGGTGTCCAATAATTTTACAGGGTAGGTGTCCAAGAATATCACTGCATGCTCCACTCATATAGGTGAACTGCCTTTGGCTTTTCTGCCTTTCTTCTGGTTTCTATAATTTGAGGTGGGTGTGAGGGACCCCCACAAGAGTGTCGAAGCAACTTTACTACCCTTCGTTTAATATCCCTTAAACTCTTAAGCGCCTCTAATACACAGTTTGCTCTGTATTTCTCAATAACTACTGAAGTACCAATGTATATTTGCACACAGTCATGTATACGTATTGTGTGCTATAGCCTATTATTCAGAGGGGACAAAGCACTGCAGTTAGAAAGAGATGCTGGATAGCTTAAAGTCTGCATAATAGAACAGTATCCCCAACTACCCCCCAACAACTGAGGGAAACTAAATCCCCTTTCAAATTAGAGCACACTAAGAAGGGGGAATGTGTGGGGTGTTTTTAAGGCTCAATAGGCTTCTAGTTAAATAATAAAAAATAAAAAATACACAGATCTCACAAGTTTTGATTTTCACTGCTGTATACGGTCAAATAAAATGAGTCTAACTTCCTAATGGATTTAAAAATAAGTATATGTATTCCAAAAAAAAATAACAACCAACAAGGCGGCCGGAAAAGGAAAGTACTTGTTGTGCACCAAATATCAGAGTCCGCACTGAACCACAGATTCATAGCGAGGCTTGAAACGCACTCTATTGCTACTGGCAGTGTTAGTTCCCGGATGTGCGTTCCACGGTGGGAGCGTGCAGAAGCTGCAGTAATGTAGTTCTGGGACCCACAGGAAGTGTTTTATTTTATTATTTTTTTCATTGTGGGGAAAGGTAAGTAAATGGGATCATGTGTCATTGATGAATTATATATACAAAACATAAGCTTGTGTCTTTGTGTAGACTCACAAATGAGATAAATACGCATTTTAGTATAGTCATCGCGCTGTCTGTTTATGAATTTCAGGAATAGTCATGATTTGGACTCCACCATTCTTTAAATTTACTGCACTGACTCAAGTGTAACACAATTACATATAGAGCAACATTTGCCATTGTTTGGGTGGTCTTTTTAGGTAATTTGGTCACAGGTTGCTAACTTCTGGTTGAAGATCCCAAAGAATTATGGTCAGGAGTTGCTAGTTTATGCTCTGGAGTTACTGGGTTTGGGATTAGTTGGTTACTGATTTAGGGCACACTGGATTAGATAGTGCACATCATATGGTAACACTGTAAAACACACATATGGATTTATTTTTTATAGGTAATTTAAATATGATATCTGTTACCTAATAGTAATATATGTATACAATGTGTTCAATTTTTACTGTATTCAGCAATGCATTTTGTTTTAATTATGTGCCCCAGGTATTCTTAAAGGAACACTGTAGTGTTTCCTGTTTGTATTCCAAAATAGTTTTTCCCTTACCTATACAGGTACTGCCCCCTCCCCATAAGGGTTAAAAATAAAGTTTAGTTGATCTTACATCCCTCGGCACACTGGACTTCTCCGTGCCACTGCTCTGCCTCCCTGGCTTGATCATCTTTGCCAATCAATGCTTCATCATAGGGAAGGATATTGCAAACGTGCAATAACACGATGTTCTGCTCTGCGTCAATCAAATGCTCTCAGTGAAAGTAATTTGATCTATAACGAGCTTTAACTTTGTTATAGCTGCAGAAGTGTCTCTAGTCGCTGTCTAGAGACAGCAATATTTTCAGTTGCAGGGTTAAAAAAGGATCTGTCTGTCTATTTATTCTGATGTATTTAAATGTGTTCCAGACAGAATAGAAATCAGGTCACCCTAATGTAATGTGAGCATTTGATTCCTTGAGAAAGTTTAGCATTTTGAGTCTTCAGTTTCATAATTAATGTATTGGAATCCCTTGCCTTAACACAAAGTTAACAAAATAATTGTTAAAATAAACAAATAAGTCGTCAAAAATAGGTTGGAGTGGGTAAGTTGCATTTTCAAACTGTGTTTTATGGGATAAGGTCAGATCTCCTAGATGAACATAAGAAGTGTTTGTGTATCCTCTTACTGGTAGAAGTCTAATTGTATCCCTTTGTTAATATATTAATAGTTATAGTATATTAATATTTGTAAAAACAATATATTAATTCGTATACCGAGTTAATTTCCTTGGTACTCAATTTAGTGCTCAAAAACTGTAGGCAATAGGCAAAATTGTTGGCACCCCCAGGCATCAAAGGGGTTAAAGGCCATTTAGGAGATATTCCCTTCCAGATATACAGGCAGCTACTGTAGACACCAATCTACCAAACCGGAGAAGCATACGAATGCTCTCAAACATATGAATGCTGTAAACAGTCGAATAGGAAAAACCATACGAAAGGTTTACACTCCTAGTAGTCAAACTGGAACAGTATACAATAAATCTCCCCAAGAACGAGACAAGGCTTCGTGTTGAGGGTCAAAACAGGAACAGACAGAGCTGTGGGTTTATTGTTCTTATATACACATTAGTACCACCCACAGGGTTTTGTAAAACAACCAATAAACACATACAATACACTCAGACACTCCCACACAAAATCCTCCCCTCTGCCTGTGATACAATTAACTTACACAATGGGTTAATGTAATTATCACAGGCAGAGAAATACAGTTTTTCCACATTATTCATAACTTTAAAAGTATACATCACAGTCACATAAAATCAGAATCAGCATTCTCCAAATACAAACATATGTCAAAATCATCCAAATTGGTCCAGTGGTTCAAAAGATAGATCGAAATTCTTTGTGACCAAATGAAGCATGGCTTTTCTGCCCAAAACCAGTTCCACAGAGTCTTCTATCCTGGAGATAATTGGGAAGTAATCCAATTATCTCCAAGGACAGAGGCAAAACTCAATTGAACACATGGTAGCAAAAGACAATAAAATACATAAAAATATATAACTGTGCAGCTATTGCATAAAACAGGTACATTCAACATATCCCCATCTATAGCTTAGATCTGAGCGCACATTATTACTGAATGGCACTCAGATCACATACATACAGTTCAATTGCCATGGAGCCAAAGTCTTTCACATAGTCTTTCGTTATACGGGGTATCACTGTTCAAATAGGGCAAGTACCGAATGACGTGGCTTTCGTGTCTTTGCATGGGAAAATCAAGCATTTCAACATGGGGCCATAGTCTAAAGGCAGCAGGCGGGCAACCAGGCTCCTCCAATGCACAGTGGCGAGATTGGTCTCGTCACAATAGGTAATCACAGAAAATGCATGCTGCCCACCTCAGCTTGAATCCATGCTCATGTTTTAAATTAGAATTCTTTTTTCAATATAAAATGTGGTAACCAGCACTCTGTATATACATACGTGTATATTATTTAAACAATAGAGTATTTATAATGTATAACATGTTTTCCACAACTCATTCTTACTTCTTCATCTTTTGTCATTTTTTTGCTCTTCAGTTGTTCTTCCTCTCCACGATGGGCCTTCTACCAGCTCAAAAGGCATTTTTCCCCCTGCGTTCCATGGATTCACTTATTCGTCTTTTCCAGTCGGAGTTGGCTCGTCCCGAGCCTGACTTACCTCTGTTGTCCCTTACTCTTGGATTTGTTGAGCACTTTCTGGCAGTGAACCGTGTAGTGCCTACTAATATTGGCAGCATCTCGGATGTTGGGGCTGCTGTGGTTGCTAAGACTGGTGCAGAGGGAACAAAGGTACAAAGTGGAGAGAGTAATAAGCAGGGAAGTCAAGAAGGCTCTAGGGCTGATCAAGGAAAGAGAGGAACCAGAGGAGACAAGGTCAGGAAGGGAGGAGCTGGAGGACAAGCAAAGAAAGAAATGGACAATGTTGTTGGAGATTCCACTGGAAAAAAACAAGCCAAGGAGAACACCAAGGCAGCTAGAGACAGCTCAGAGGGAAGAAAGGAAAAGGAAAGAGAAAATGAAAAAAACACCAATACTGGGGAGGGTTTGAGGACTGGCAAAGATACCACAGGGGAACCTAGCGAAAATGCTAAAACAGAGTTAGGGCGACAGATTGTCCCATACTTTCCAACACTAGATCTGACAGTAGCACAGGCTCTGCATGCTCGTTTCACAGCCCAAACTCGTGGTGCAGTAGACCTGTCTTGTTACTCTCGGGAAAATGGAGTGTCAGGTCGGGAGCTTATTCGAAGGGTTTCGGATGTCATTTGGAATGGTCTGAGTCGGTCCTACGTCAAAGATAGGGCCCACATACAGTCTCTTTTCAGTTTTGTGACAGGTGAGAATGTTTTTGTAGTACGTTTAATGAAACAGGAGCTGGCATGAATGAAAAAAAAATAACAGGCTCACCTATTATACAATATATTAATAAGATAATTAATGAAATAAACATTTGTTTATGTCTTTCCTTTTAAATGCCAGTAAAATCAGATCAATATTTGAGATGAAAGAAGTATGTTTAGACAAGAAGGAATTTTAGTTGCCTCTGAATTGAATGGAGAAGACTTTTCTCTTTATAAAAATAATTGCATTGTTTGCTATTGCACTTTCTCCTACTCTTAAATCAGGCACAAAGCTGGACTCACCTGGTGTTGCATTTGCTGTGGTGGCTGCATGCCAAGTGTTAGGACTTTCTGATGTACACCTGGCTCTTTCAGAAGACCATGCATGGGTGGTGTTTGGGAAGGATGGGGAGCAGACAGCTGAAGTAACATGGCATGGAAAGGGTAATGAGGACAAAAGGGGACAGTCTGTAAGTTCCGGTGTAGTTGACAAGGTAAGGTGATATAATATTCCTGAAGCCCAGTTGCCTCAGTGTTTATTTCTTTATCAACATTTTTATGTCACTGTTTGTGCTCTTCCTCTTATTTAACATCATCTGTGTGTGCCCTTTTGAGTGCATGTGTTTGAGCACAGAAAAGGATAGCGTAATAAAGTAATGCATTCTTGCATCTGCGTTTTGTTTAACAAATGCCAGATTTTCTGTTAACCCTATATGTTGGTTTTCTTTTCAGAGCTGGTTATATTTAAATGGACGATATATGCGCTGTAATCGACATATGGAAGTTGCTTTCATGGTTTGTGCCATGAACCCTTCAATAGATGCTCATACAGATAGTCTGGAATTGTTGCAGCTGCAACAGGTGATGCATTTTCCTACTTCTTGACATATTTTGTATCAAAGGGCATGTTAAGCTAAATGCTGATTACTTGATTTTGTATGTAGACAGATGAGTTCATGCAATTTTTTTTTGTTACTGTCTTTTTCTAAATTTAGCACATTCCACACGCCCCTAAAGCATTTGTGGTTGCTGAAGTTCATTTGGGTTAACTGCCACTCCCATTTGTATTAATTTATAAAAGCAAACTTTTGCAAATGGCATTCGTTTACCTGTTTGTTCAACATAGTAGTGAGCACTTTTTATAAAGACGCATTTGATACAATGTTTCTTTATGAGAAGTATTCATTTAACAAAGTATGGGGGTTGCTGCACTGGTTCAATAGGTATCCAATGCTGCTCTTTATTAAGCATTAGATTGGCCTGGGGAGGATTGATTATTTCTTGGGGGTAGAGCTGTGGTGAGAAGAAAAGGTGAGCAACTTATTTTTTTTTTATGGAATAGTGGTTGGGGATTTAAACTCTTTCAAATTCTATCATTAGAAACAAATTATTTTTGTTTAATGGGGTGTTTCTTTAAGTTTAGCAATATTGCTCTAAAAACTTATTTTATACATTTAAAGAGGAAATGTCACTTTTGGAGAGAGAAGCACATTTTAATAGCTAAAAGCAATATTAGACTGTGCTGACACAACCAGGAATCCATATTTGTCATTGACCACTTGACTTTTGCAGCAGTGTTGTATTTTTTTCCATTCATTTCTGCCCAATATATATATTAGTATTTTCATTGTAAATTCAAGTTGTGTCAAAAACATACATAGTGGGATACGCAGGTCCCCAATACCTAAACGAGCAATGCAGAATAAACATTAACAGGTGTGGCTCACATTATAGAAAAAATAATAAACACCTCCCTGACCATGAGACACTCAGGTCTCGTACCATGAGGAAGTAATCTTAGTTTTGGGCTCTCCAGCCCCTGAGTGTGTAGTCGATAGTAGGGGCTAATGGACCTTAATCCATACATCAGGATCAATACAAACTGGTCTGCACTAATGTATCGACTCCCGTTCTTTTCTGAAAACTGAAAAGAGCAGAGATGGCACTCCACATAATTACATGGAATTGTAGACTCTGTGCTGCAAACTGTCAAGGTTAGTCACCAAAGTAAGCATTGCTGGCAATCCAAAGTGAGTTCAAAGTAAGTTTTTTAAATTTAGGACAAAGAAGCTGAAATAGAATCACGAGCGATCTGGAGATTTTTATCTGCTTTGGCTATTTGCACCTTAAATTTGAAATGGACTTTGAACTCACTTTGAATTCCTGACAATGCTCACTTTGTGCATATCTTTTTGTACTTTGCATAATTTATCTCGTGCCTGCTAGTTTTAACTGACCAATGTGTGCATAGTTATGGCTGTGTCACTGTTGTAACTATAATAAAAACCATACTTATCTGTATCTGTTGTTATAATATACTTGGACTGTTTTTTTCTTTTTCGTCTTCAGTAACCCAAGATATTTTTTGTATTGTAATAGTAAACATAGAGCAATATCCTGAATACATAGTGCTTGTATCACCTGTTGACTTCTGAGACACTTCAGTGCGCTTATGACTAACTTCCATTATAAGCTAACAATATTTCTTCTTTTTTTGTAGAGTTTGCTGTGGGTGCTCTATGATGGAGGACACCTGGACAAGTAAGACAATATTTTGCACGTTGTTTTTAAGACACTGTCATTTTATTTTTGAAATCTATTTATGTAATATTGTACTTTTTACTTTCATTACTTCTGGAAACATATGGATTTACATGCTAAATGCTGAATTGTAGTGAATTCAATTCCAAATTGCAAACTATAAATTACTGAGCAGGTGGTGCCTTACTCATCAGGCTCTACATCACATATTTCCTAACACGTCCAACGTTGGAGATGTTGGGAATACATGGACACCACAGCTCACATTTGATGGTTTTGTCATAAGATTCAACCCTATTGGGCACCACTATCACTGGCACTCCAGTATCCTGTTCCCTGAAGACCTTCCTGCTTCAACATGCCACAACCCCTACAAAACCATCCACATGATGCCTGGTACCTCATTTACTAAACGCAGCTAAGGCTAGAGGTCATCTGTTAGTACCACTCTCCCTTAAGGAATGCATAGTTAGTCTTTCTGGGTGATGGAGGAGTTAAGCCATGATATGGGAAACTCTATTAATACTCCGGTTATCACATGGTCCCCAATGTAAAACAAACAGTGGATATTTTAACTGTTTTACATTGTATTTTAATAAAGGTGTTTTGGCCTCTTTCCACTGTGAGTGTGCCATTTTACTTTATTATTTTCTACCTGGCATCCGATTTTAAGTTCCAGTGAGGACCACTCCAAAAGAATCCACGGTGGGGATTATACCACTTACGGTTACACATTGAGCAGTTAGTCTGGATAATTAAATGTGAGTACCAAATCATTTTTTTTTTTTTTATACTCCTGGTACCTTTTAAACTGTGAGCGCTATTGCTGTCTCTTTTATATCTTTTATGATCTACATACCGATGATACAACTGCCTACCTACACCATCCTATGTATCCTATAAGGGGGGATTGTACCACTGTACGCCATTCAGACTAGAGCTAGGTGTGACTGACTGCTGGCACTTCGACTGAGTACCTCTGCCAATCCTGCTTGCCGAGGACTCCGAGCACTCCAACCGACACCATCAGCACTGCGGACACCACTTCCAGTGATGCAGCTGCGCCAGGGTCTCGCCGTCTCTCACCCACCCTGGATCCACGACCAGGATCCAGCTCCCAGTGGGTGAACCTCTCCTAAATCCAGAGAGCGTAGCAGGAACAAGAGCTTACTCTGGGGAGTAAGTGATTATAGCAATCCCCAGAGTGTAGGTATCCCTTCCCCCAAGCATGAGCCAAGGCTTCAAGAAAGGTGCAAGTAGGTCTGGTTTATTGAGGGCTACCTGCCCGGTATTTATGGGCACTCCCCTAGGGGACCTGATGGAATAATGGGACACATATTGGATATTAGCCAATCACAGACAATACAAACAAAACACTCCCAAAGTGACATCACAATCCCTCCTCTCTATCCTGGAGATAATTGGGAAGTAATCAAATTATCTCCCAGGACAGAGGCAAGACTCCATTAACCACATGGTTACAATTACTACATAAAACATATACATGCAACATATCCCCATATAGCTTAGATTTGAGTGCACATTATTACCGAATGGCGCTCAGATCACCTACATATAGTTCAATCACCATGGAGCCAAAGTCTTTTCCATAGTCTTTTGTTACACGAATAGGCTCCATGGCATAGCTATCTGGGGTAGAACTACTCACATACTGAAAGACTCGAACGCCACGGCAGAAATACACAAATACCTTTCTGCAGGGGAAAATACAGCTATCAGCACAGGGGCCATAGTCGGAAGGCAGGAGGCTAGCCAGTAGTCCCCTCCAGGCACAAGTGGTGAAGGTCACTTCGTCACACTAGGTTTAGCTATATCAATTGTAAGTAGGGCCATAGACGTTTTATTTACTTTTATGTTATTCTGGGATTTTCTGCACCATTAGTTCTCTCTTTGCATGTATGGCTGCCAAGAGTACTCTGATCTGACCCCATTCCAGAGGAACTACCCTGACCCTTTGAGGTTTTATCTTCCTGTCACGATTACTATATGACCCAACACGCAGAACTATGTAATACACAGTATACAAGGATAACGTATACCGGGCCTCAGAATGGCCGGACTTCACCTAAATAAAGAATGGTCAAAATACTAGCCGAGGTCAGGGCCACAGAAAGAGACACAAAGAGGAAACAAGCCAAAAGTCAAGGATACCAGAAATATGGGGAAGTCAAAATACAAGCCAAAGTCAAATACCAAAAAGAACTAGAATAGGAACGCGCTCTCTGTTAATCAACTGGTGGAAACCACGACAGGGCACTGACCAAATGCTATTTTGAGTTTAAATAATCCTCGTAAGGCTATGATTAGTTGTACATAGCCTTTGACCCCAAAATATGCATGTGCGTAGTTTTCATGATGTCACACGCACGTCGGCACCATCTTTGTTGAGGACGGAGGCGGGGCTACATAGTTGCTTGCGACCGCAGCGGCCAGCGTTCATTCACTCAAAGAGGGTGTTGAATGGAAAGCTGATTTGCCTTAGGTAAGTTTTTATTACTTACCGGATGCGGCCACGCTGTATGGAGGCGCAGGGGACGTGACACTTCCAGCAAGTTTTTAGATTTGGATTCACATTTGGACTTTATATGTATGTGTGTGTGTGTATGTGTGTTATAACACACCTGTGTTTTTATAATTTCTGGCGCTATCTTTATTCCCCCTGTTTGACTCATACCTTTGTATGCCTTACCAGTAACAGGCGGCAGTTGTTGATTATTTATTTTGTGTTTAGTTAAACTCAGTTTCTTATTGTTATTGTACTGGTTCTCTTTCTTTACAAACATGAACTGTACAATAACCATATTGTGACATTCTCATACAAAATATTACTTATGTTGCTCTTATTAATCTACGCTGGTGGAAGAATGGCATTTGTTTCCTTATCAAACTCAATAAACATTTATAAATAAATCAAAATTGCAAACTTTAGGCTAAAGTAGTCAAGCAGTGACTATAGCTAAGTTGGAGATTTTTTCCAAATCATCTACTTTGGCCTACATTTTGCAATTTGTGCTTTAGTTCACTGTTTAGTAAACTTATAGCATACTTGTAGGTCTAGACCTAAATTAATCTATTGCTCATATATAACTCTAAAAACAGATCTAATTCCAGTCCATTCTTTTCTGATGGTTTTAGATATCCAATGGCTCTGGGAAATTTGGCAGATCTTGAAGAACTTAGTCCAACACCTGGGCGTCCCAAGCCCCTTGAACTCTACCACAAGGTGGACTTAATGTATATATTCTTCCATTTCTTTAACTCTTTATTGTTTTGCTTTCCCTCATTTTGTGTTTTGTCTTCTATAGGGTGTACAGTCTTCATGGTTACATTATGAAAACCAGCATTTGTATCCTCATATATACTTGGCTGCATATCACTGTCGGAATAAAAATGTGAAAGAAGCATTGAAAGCATGGGCTGAGACAGCTGCAGTTATCCAAGAGTGAGACTACTATTTCTTGCATGGTCAAATAACCTATTTTCATCTGTTCTTTACTACTTGTTTTTTTTTTCCCCTTTGACACTTTTATACTGTTGTGTTTTAACTTGCCTTTCTGGCTTACATCCTTGTCATCCCCAGTTTTTGACTGACAAGGATTTTTGGGAACTGTAGTTCAGCAACAGATAGAATTCCCTCTTTTATTTCTTACACATATGAAACATTTTTTTAATTTTTAGGTATAACTACTGTCGTGAGGATGAAGAGATATATAAAGATCTCTTTGATATTGCCAATGATTTGTTGCCAAACTTGTTGAAAGAGGAGTCAATGTTACCAGAATGCCCAGTAAGTAATCTTTGAGAAGCAAGCAAACTTTTGCAATAGGTAGGGATGCATAGCAGTAATATCTGGCTTTCTTCTTTTTTCAGGCTAGTTCAGCTCTTCAAGATCCTGCAGCCTTTGCAAATCTCTTGCGTTTCTATGATGGGATTTGTAAATGGGAAGAGGACAGTCCTACTCCTGTCTTGCACGTAGGTTGGGCCACATTCCTAGTGCAATCACTTGGAAGATTTGATGCACAGGTAAGACTAAAGGGTGAGGGATAGGAGGATGACTAGTAGTGAAAATACAAGCTACAACGACTGGTAATAATTTAAGATTAGTACTGGTGTGTCCATGTAGTAAAGCCAACTGAAAATATTCTTCCAAATACATTTTATTCTGGGAAAGTTAATTTATGAAATATAAATATACAGCCATTAAAGTGCAAGTGAAATATTAACTTTTCTGTAAGGTAGAAGGATTCCTAAATAAGCAGGAAACAACAGTGTAGAGAAACCATAGTGTTTGGAAAGCCATTAGTTCTTTAAATGCTTAACGTTTGTCTTAAGCAAAGATAGCAAGATATATGGAAGTAGATTATGATTGGGAAAAAAATCCTGTCAAACAGAATGATGAAGCAACTTAACATGGAGTTGTGATGATTTTTTGGCAAGATCACGCAGAACATATATTCATGATTGCTCTCTTATCCACAGGTTAGACAGCAGGTAACGTTAGCAAGCTTTGAACCTTCTAATGAAGATGAAGACACTGAAGACACCAGAAGAAGGGTTCCCAGACGAGAGTCTAAAACTGGAGAACCAAATCAACAGCTATCACGCTCTGGCCCTACAGCTGAGCAGCATGGAAAAGATGCTGAGCTTTCAGAAGCACTTACACTCACCTTCCAGAGTGAGAAGATGAAAGGAATGAAGGAATTACTAGTTGCAGCAAAAGTGAACTCCAGTGCCATTAAACTGCAACTCACTGCTCAATCTCAAGTGCAACCAAAAAGAGCTCGGGGGTCTTCATCAAGAGACTACAACTTGGGTTATCTAAAAAGGCAACGCAAGGCGGTGTGAGACGATGCAAGACAAAAATGTTCATGCGACATACTTATTTTTATTGCTTGTTAAAAATAATGAAAAATGTAGTATTAATTATAACTATGTATGCATAGATCTTAGTGCATAACTAACTGTTTTTTGAATATCTAATTCTAAAGTCAAGGACATAAATATGTATTTGGTTCCTTCTTTACTGCTATACCAGTTTCCACTATTCTGTGACTGCTTTTATGTAGGGTTCTGCTTCCATTTAGCCACAGGGGTATGAATGGGTTCTGGTACTGATATGTTCTGCTCATAGGCGGTGGCCTAATTCATCTCTATTAAAGGGACACTATAGTCACCCGGACCACTTCAGCTCAATGAAGTGGTCTGGGTGCCAGGTCCCCCAGGTTTTAACCCTTCAGAAGTACATTGCAGGGTTAATCCAACCTCTAGTGGCTGTCTTCCTGACAACTGCTAGAGGCGCTTCTGCGACGCTGGATACGAAATTCGCATCCAGCGTGCAGAACGTCCATAGGAAAGCATTGAGAAATGCTTTCCTATGTACTGTTTGAACGCGCGCAACTCTTGCTGCACATTCCGCTGCACTCGGGAGCGGACGTCGGCGGGGGAGGAGAGGTCACCAGTGCTGAGGGAGCCCGGCGCTGGATAAAGGTAAGTGGCTGAAGGGGTTTTGACCCCTTCAGCGCCAAGGGAGGGGGACCCTGAGGGGTGGGGTAGTTCTAAGGATGCTATAGTGTCAGGAAAACGAGTTTGTTTTCCTGACACTATAGTGATCCTTTAATATTGATGGGGTTTAGGTCCGGACACTGCGTACGTAAGTCAGTTTCTTATGCAGTTATTTCTACAAGCATTTCTGAACTTTACTTTGTCATGCTCAGACATGAAATACTATTGCCGCAAAGTTGGAAGCACAGGTTTCTTTACAATATCGTGCTGTAACATTGAGCCATTGGAATAACAACATCAAACTTACTCCTTCTCAATCAATTTTTATAGTTGGCATTGCACAGTCAGGCAGGTAAGTGGTATCCTTTTGGCATTCACTAATCCAAACATTACCTATGACCACCAGATTATGAAGAATGCTTCATCACTCCAGAGAATACATTTGAGAAGACAGCGCATAGAGTTAACTGAACAAGCTCTAGCAGTACAGAAGTGTGATTATTTGATAGGTTTGAAATTTGATTTGATGCTGATTTTGTAAGGCAATACAGGGAGAATGTTCTGGTATTTCAAAAGGCTTAGTTCTTCAACATGCAGAGATGAGCTAAATCCTCAAAATCGGTCATTGTGAGGCCGCTTAGAGAAACACTCCAAACCAAGTGCTTTAGGAGTCAAGAGCATGTTCCATTTGCCTTGTTTTACAAAAGTACAAATTTGAAGAGAAGTCTGCACTTTTATAAATCCCCTTGGTAACACCTCCTGGCTGTCAAGAAGGACTTCCCATAGAGACACATTGGTTTCAGTGCCTCTCTATGAGAAGCATTCCTAGCAGATTGCGATGAATGGCTCTCACACACTGTGTGCAAGTGCTTATTTTTGAGAAACATTGGACTCGGCAGGAAATAATAACTAGTGATGATCTTCCGTGGGATAAAGCAAAGCTGTACTGACAGTTTTACCGCTGGGTTGAAGGTGAGGTGATAATATATCAATACATTTTATGTTCAATACCTCATGTATCTCTGTGATATGTGATGTAATCATCTCATTTTGGGGTAATTCATGTTAAAGTGAGCATATCATGACAAGTTCATTTTAATTACTTAACATGCAGAAAAATAATCTTAGATGTTTGCTTCCTTGGCATAACAATTTTTCTTGTAATGGGAGGTTGAAGTCCAACCATGCCAGAATTGGATTACATGATAGGAGGGAATACCCTAATTTCTGATGGAAATGATCAATTTAGCCTCCTGAGGTCATGTGACTTCAGACTGGGCTGTTGTAGTAGGGACACTGTATGTATAATAAGACATCATTCTAAAGCCATGAGTTATCCCTTGATTTTGTTAAAAGATTGAAAAAAATTAATGAAAATTCCTTAACAGTCCACTCTTATTTGGAGAATTAAGTGTATGCGTTGTGTAAAGTTTACTTTTTATGTGTCTTAGATTTATTTTTATATTAAGAACTGTTTGTTATTTTTGCATTATTAAACTTATTTAAGATCTGTCTTGGCCTTATTGGATTCAAAAAAATTGCATGATTCTGTACCCGTGTTTGGTTACTGAAGACACCCATACCATGTCTTGAGTGGCAGCAACTTCGTTATAATTAGACGTGTGCTTAAAGGACCACTATAGTGCCAGGAAAACATACTCGTTTTCCTGGCACTATAGTGCCCTGAGGGTGCCCCCACCCTCAGGGTCCCCCTCCCGCCCGGCTCTGGAAGGGGGAAAGGGGTAAAAACTTACCTTTTTCCAGCGCTGGGCGGAGAGCTCTCCTCCTCCTCTCCGCCTCCGTTACGCCCCGCTGGCTGAATGCGCACGCGCGGCAAGAGCTGCGCGCGCATTCAGCCGGTCTCATAGGAAAGCATTTACAATGCTTTCCTATGGACGCTGGCGTGCTCTCACTGTGATTTTCACAGTGAGAAGCACGCAAGCGCCTCTAGCGGCTGTCAATGAGACAGCCACTAGAGGACATAGGGGAAGGCTTAACCCATTCATAAACAAGGCAGTTTCCCTGAAACTGCTATGTTTATGAAAAAATGGGTTAACCCTAGCTGGACCAGGCACCCAGACCACTTCATTAAGTTGAAGTGGTCTGGGTGCCTAGAGTGGTCCTTTAAATGAGTTTTAACTGGTAAAAAAAGTCCTTTTCCTTTTAATCTTTCCCTTTTAAGTCAATCCTTGTGGGATTCTTTAAAGAAGACTCCGCAGGGAAATCCCAGACGGAACAATTCATTAGCGTGTAGATTAAAAGAAAGTTGATTAGATGCTATTCATGCATATTTGAGATGGCAAGAAACTTTTTTTATATTTAAGTACAATTTAGTATGTCGCCTCAATAGGTCACTACTCCATATTAATTCTCCTTGACCTCTCTGCTGCCTTTGACACCGTTGATCATGCTTTCCTCCTTCAAACTCTTCAATCGCTCGGTCTCTGTGACTCTCTCCTCTCTTGGTTTCCCTCCTATCTCTCCCAACACTCATTCAGTGTCTCCTTTTCCAAGCATACCTCCTCCCCTCGTCCTGTCTCGGTTGGAGTTCCCCAAGGCTCTGTCCTTGGTCCCCTTCTATTTTCTCTTTATACTGCCTCTCTTGGCAAGCTTATTGCCTCTTTTGGATTCAACTACCACCTGTACGATGATGACACTCATATATACCTCTCCTCCCCGGACCTCTCCCCTGCCGTCCTGCAACGTGTCACCGCTTGCCTTTCTTCCATCTCTGACTGGATGTCCTCGCGCTTTCTGAAACTCAACCTCTCTAAAACTGAACTCCCTGTCCTTCCTCCTCCTTATACTGATCCTCCTCTCTCGCTCTCCCTTCAAGTCAGTGATATCCACATAAGTCCATCCTTGCAAGCACGCTGTCTTGGTGTCATACTTGACTCTGGTCTCACCTTTGAGCCTCACATCCAGTTTGTTGCCAAATCCTGTAGGTTCCAACTCAAAAACATAGCCGCCCTTTTCTTACGCAAGATGCAACCAAAGAGCTTGTCCATGCTCTAGTAATTTCCCACATGGATTACTGTAACCCTCTCCTGATTCGTCTCCCCAAAAGCCGTATTGCCCCGCTACAGTCTGTAATGAATGCTGCAGCTAGACTGATTTTCCTCTCTAGTCAGTCCTCTCACACATCACCCCTGTGCCAGTCCTTACCATTGGCTCCCTGTATCCTATAGGAGTCAATTCAAAGTGCTAACCCATACATTTAAAGCACTGAACAATTCTAGCCCCTCTTATATCTCCTCAATGATCCATAGGTATGCCCCTCCTCGTTCCCTCCGCTCTGCCCGTGACCACCTCCTGACCGCTGCTCGCACTTGTACAGCCAACTCGCGCTTGCAGGACCTCTCGCGGATGGCTCCTTTCCTATGGAATAGCCTGCCTACTGCCATCAGACTCTCCCCTAGTCTTCAATCATTTAAGAAGAGCCTTAAAACCCATCTCTTCAGGAAAGCTTATGGCCTCCCAGAGTAACCTCTACCTTACATACCTGTCTCTTGCTCTCTCTACCCTCTCCTCCAGCTCTGCTTCACTCCCACCCTATTTGATTGATATTTCCTGTCCTAATGTGTCTTATACCCCACCTCATATAGACTGTAAGCTCGTTTGAGCAGGGTCCTCTTCAACCCATCATTCCTGTAAGTTTTCTTGTAATTGTCCTATTTATAGTTAAATCCCCCCCCCTCATAATATTGTAAAGCGCTACTGAATCTGTTGGCACTATATAAATGGCAATAATAATAATAATAATATGGTTAGGAGCAGTTTGGAAGACCAACTGTGGTACACTGAATTTTGTGTTGGCATTATTGACCGTCACTAATGTATCATCCAATGTGAAAAAGAAATCATAATTCCTGTAGATGATATATTTTGTGTGACAAAAATTGTGTTTCTAATAAAACTACTCCAAACCTTTTTGACAAAAAACAGGTGTAGCGGAGAGCTGGTATTTCACAGGTTAACTCCCAGTGAGGCTCAGGAACAAGTAATAAAAACACCATAGAGCAATAATCCCAGCAAGCAAGGTAATCCATGAATATTCCCAAACAGATCCCAATGACTGGACGACACACAGCATCAGGAGCAGAACGGACTTTCAATCCACACAACCATGCAAGGGAGGGATTCACATTAATCAGGACAGTAACCAATAATGTCACAGTTACCTCCCACACATCTCCTCCTCTTCTAGATGTACCCCAAAACCCCCAGTTAGAATAATACTTTTGGTACCCCCTGGTAGCCCTGATCTGGGTGACTAACATATCCAAGATTCACCCAGATCGGACCAGGGGTTTGGGAGTTAGGTGGAGGGTGTAATTTGACCCATCGCACGCAAGGTGGTATCTGAAAAAGGCTGTGTTTTGGTCTCTGTTCGGGAGTTAAAACACTTAGAAATACCTGCCATCCACGGCTAATCTTTCATTCATATGAATTCCATTGTTCGGGACATTGATTTTACCGAACAGGGGGCTGACTAGTCCCTCCATTCAGGAGTTATGGAACTCTGGAGGTCTCAGCGGTGTTTGGTTGTTTGAGTGTCCGATTTGAGTTCCAGACACTCTACGACCAAACACCGCTGAGATTTTCATGCGTAAGATGGCCGCCGCACGTGGTTCGCATGCCGAACGGCACCACCACAGGCACATACAATTAGGCTGTGGTTTGCAGAGTGTGAACGCTTAACAAGGCGCACACTTCTCACTGGGGTGGTCTGATGGTTCGGTAGTTTCATTCGTATGAAACTACCGAACAATCATACGAAAACTTCATACATTTTACAGTCATACAGGAAAACAATTACACGAATACATTTCAATACGAATCCCTAAGGACAGTCTTAGCACAATCCGCTACAACAGGGGTTGTATATGTGTGTATCTTTGTGAGTATTATAGCAAAACGTAATTGGTATTTAAACACCAGCAGTCATATGCACTTTTCTCTGCAGGAATTTATAAAACAAGGTCCTACCTTCTCCATCCTGTGAATGGCTGTTCAATTTTCTCTTCAGAACAGTAAGTAGTGAATAATGCAACCAACCATGCCAGTATTAGGACAACAATGAAGAATATGATTCGAACTGGAAGAAGCAGTAAACCACAAAACACCATCTGTAAGAATCAGAAATCATGTTTTTATCAAGCCATCAACACATATTAAAGAAAATAAAAACAAAAAATGATTGAAGTACAGGAAGAAACATGACTAATTCACTAAGTAAAGATGAAGCCAAATAATCATCCGAATATAATCACGTTGGGACAGGTGAGGGGGAAACCCTTGGTTAGATATTGAAATACATGAGAAGAGGTCTGTCCTTGGATAGAGATTAAAAAAATATCAAGTCTTTATTATTAATATTCTAAAAAAGAAATAAACAACACACTTGAAAATAAAGAATGAACCTAAGTCAGATAGTGATAGGGGACAGAAAAAAAACCAAAAACATAACAACATACATACGGTTGATAAAGGTTGGTTCGGAGGTAAGAGTACCCTAATAAAGATCTACTAGTGCTAAAGATACAAATGTAGTAGACAGTGGATACAATTAATCTAATGTTGTCAATGAGTTGCATCTCATGGAAAACCAATATATCACACTAAGTTGTGTAGCAAAGCATCATATGGTCTATAACACCAATGTTATGATGTGCCTCAATGAAGTGTATAATTGGCTTAGTGTCAAATGTAGACCAATGAAGTTTACCCAGATATAAAAGCCAGAGAGTAATTTTCGTGGCAGAATCAGATAAGGATAGACAGAGAATATCCTAAGCAAACAGGTATAGTGATATAGTGTTAACTAGAGATCTGGCAGTAACCGGCAGAGAGTTATGTAAGAAAGGGAGGAATGTCTGGGCAACAATATAAACATTAAAGTCTAGATAACTCACTTCCTGATAGACTCAGCTGTTAAGATTCCAACTGACATCCGTATCAGCTGTTGGGAGGTTCTGAGGAGGAGGTCATACTATCTGTGCCTTCGAGGGCACCTATGAAGTGTCGAATACCTAACTAGCTGCCTCAAACTGGGAACACTAAAGTTCTAGTGAGGAGGTTAGTCTGACCCTAGTAATTGGTTAACAGATAGGTGCCCTTGAAGGCATTCAAGGGCACCTATCTGTTAACCAATTACTGTCTGTCTATCTACCTCAAATGGAGAACCAAAGGTCCGAGAGGTGACCCTAATAACCTAATTCCTATTATCAAACAAGGTGCTGCAGGTACGAGATACTGAAGACTCGAGTAGAAGGTGCTCCATTTCTCAAGGTAGGTAAGTAGGGTCAATAGAATAGGATGAGCCCCTGTTTTGGACCAGACCAAGTGTCTGCCTGAGTATCTGCCCCTGTCCAGATTTTTAAAAGTGAGATGCGTGCAAATCACACTGACAAGAAGTTCAGATGAATGAAAATTTTGAATTGTTTATCTTGGGGGGGCAGCATAAAGGCAAAGGAATGCATCGTGTGCAAATATGAAGAGTAAACTTTTAATTGGT